TTGATTGACCAGCTGGCCAAGGATGGAGCGCTTCATGACTTCCGTTCTGTTTTTCAGATGCTTAGCCGTCTTGGAGGGCGACCGCGCCACAAATCTGGGAAAGGGCGTCCGCTTCCTTTGCTGAAGGATGAAGATGGCAATGCGGTTACCTCCTTTCAAGCTCAACAGCGTGTATGGCTCCGTCAGTTTGCAGCTACTGAAGGTGGCCTTCCCATTGCGAGGCAAGCGCTATCACAATTTAGCCCAGCGGCTTTGGGACTGCCGGGACAAGTGCTTGACATCGCAGCGATCCCCACCTGTGAGCAGTTGGCCTCCAAAGTTCGCAAGATGAAGCGGGGGAAAGCCCCTGGGCCTGACGGCTTGCCGGCGGAGATCTACAAGGCTGGAGCTCTACCTATGCTGCATCATGTCCTGGCGTTGACAACCAAGACTGCTTTGCATGCTCGAGAGCCTGATAGTTGGCGTGGAGGCAGGCTTATTCCACTCCACAAGGGGAAGTCTGCGAAGTCTGACCCTACAGGCTACCGGTCCATTTTTGTGAGCAATTTTGTTACCAAGATGTACCACTCTGTGTTGCGTGACCATTTAGTTGATGTGTGGCAGCAGACGATTACTCATTTGCAATTTGGGGGGTGCAAAGGTTGCAGCTCCGATACACCTCACCTTCTTGTTCAACAACATTTTGAGTTTGCTCACACTCGAAAGCAGCCCTCGGCAGCGCTTTTCGTGGACTTCAAGTCGGCCTTTTACACCATTATTCGACAAGGTCTTTTTGCTGAGCGTCTGGATGCAACCACCTTTATGATTGCGATGCAACGACTTGGAGTTGCTCCTCAGGATCTGGCTGACCTTCTTTCGACAGCTGACAGCGATGTTGCTACGCAAGGGCTTTCTGCCCACGTTGAAGCGCTGCTCACTGACCTCTTCAAGGGCACTTACTTCGAACTTGACGGCTTGTCCGAGGTAGCCTTGACCTCAAGAGGTACGAGACCAGGTGATCCTGTTGGTGACATTTTGTTCAACCTGGTGATGACGATCATCTTGAAAGACATCACCTGTTCTCTCCAGGCATCTTCAGAGGCCCAATGGATCGGAGGACAAGAAGCGGTTGATGCTTTGCACAGTCATGGCGAAGTTCCTGCCTTTGCATTTTGTGAAGTTGCATTTGTCGACGACCTGGCGGTTCTCATGCGTGCCCCGGATATTGATCAGCTTTTCGCATTGGCTACTCTTTCGCTGCGAGCAGTTCACACAGCGGCAGCCAAACGTGGTTTGGCCCTCAACATGCAAGCAGGCAAGACTGAGCTACTCTGTGCTCTGGTTGGACCAGGGGCACGCAAAGCCCGCTTGCAGCTTGCGAGTCAACAGCATATGATCCCTGTGAACATCGCTGAGCAGACTCACCAACTTCGAGTAGTACATGCTTACAGACATTTGGGGGGATGGGTGCATGCAGATGCGCAACCGCGTCACACTGTCCGAGAAAGGCTCACTGCAGCTCGGCAAGCTTGGGGCCCCCTTGTCAGGCCCTTCTTTAGGAAGCAATCAGTGCTGTTGGCTACGAAAGTCCAGGTAATGCAATCCCTGGTGGTTTCGCGACTGACTTACAACATGCATGTGCTTACCGAGCTCTCCCCTCGTGTTTTGCAAGAATGGGAGGCTGGTCTTCGCACTATGGTTGCTCCGCTGGCACGACCCTTTCTTCTGGGTTTACCCCCTTTCAAGTTCACAACCACCACACTTTGTGGATTGATTGGAGTGTTGGCGCCCACTGACCAGCTACATGTCAACCGTTTGCGCTACGTGAAACGATTAGTGCAACATTGTCCAGCGGTTCTTTGGAACTTGTTGCATGTGCTGGCGCTGGGCCCTTGCTCTTGGATCTCCTCACTGCGATCCTCTTTTGAGTGGCTGGGGCAACACTTTGGACCTGCGTCTTCCCGGTCCGGATGCTCCGCTTGAGGATTGGTGGTCGCTTATAGCCTTGGCTGATCGATGGGGTGGATTCATCAAGAAAGCCACCAGGGCGTGCCTCTCCTTTCATCGTGCGCGTGCTCAACAACTGGTTTGGGAGAAGAGTATTGCTGCCCAATTAGCTCGTGATGATGCTTTAGCCCCCATTGATGAGGAGGTGCCCGCTTCAGAGCCCTGGGCGTGTGATAAATGTGGGATGGTTTTCCACTCCAAAAAGGCATTAGCTGTGCATGCCACCAAAGTTCATCAGTATCGTGCGTTGGTGCAACATTTTGCCACGGATGGCACGTGTCCGTGCTGTTGCCGCTCTTTTCATCAACGGAGCCGGCTGATGGCTCACCTTCGCACTATGACTTCATGTTTGGAGCGTCTGCGTGCCTGCTTTCCTCCCTTACCCGAAGCCATGATTCGTGAGCTGAATGACCTGGATGCCGCCCACACTCGAGACATGAAAGCGAAGGGCTGGTTTAGCACAAGGGCCTTGATTCCTGCGCTTCGTGGAGCTGGACCGGTTCTTCCGCCTGTGGGCTCGCCTGAGGCGGCGCTGATGCTGAGCAGGTGGACCCTTCGTCGTCCGCCCGATGGGGTGCCCATGTTCGATGCGCTGGAGGGTCATTGCGCGCTACCTCAAGGCTCGGCAAATAACCCTGAGGTATCGGCCGAAACTGATGAGTCATCTATTTGCTTTGTGGTGCAGGCCAAGGGCTTCATTGGTGGTACTGATGATCGGTATGCAATGGGAGGCCTTGCGCGTCTACACGCCATTTTGCATATTCGCACTCTGTGTTTCATCCATTTCTTCAGCGGGTTTCGCAGAGAGCATGACCTCCAGGCTTGCATTGAAGGACATTGGGTACAAGGCGTCACCCAGCTATTTTGTGTCTCCGTCGACTACTGCTTACAAAATGCCAACGGCGATCTTACGTCAGATGCCAATCAGGAGTGGTGGAAGGACCGCATCTGTAGTGGCGCTATTTGTGGTGTCGGCGGCGGTCCACCATGTGAGACGTTCAGCGCTGCGAGATTGCTGCCAGATGGACCCCCACCACTCAGGTCGCATGACCACATCACAGGTCTGCCCTGGAACTCTCCGAGAGGTTGGAATCAAACCCATCTCGGCAGCGTTCTCATGCGGTTTATCCTGAAGATGATCCTTTTGGTTGCGCGCATTGGAGGGTGTGCTTTCTTGGAGCATCCAGCCTTCCCTGTTTGGGCCCTTCATCGCAGGCCATCTTCTATTTGGTCAACATGGGTGGTGCGCCTTCTTCGACGTTTGGCTTGCACTGAGATCCTGACGTTGGACCAATGCATTTACGGGTGCCCAGCGAGAAAGCCGACCACGCTCCTGTTGGTGCGCATGTCCAGCATGGTGGTTGAGACCCAGTTGCTGGGTCGAGGTGGCCGCTGTCCTCACCCACCTGAATGGCACAAGGCCTTAGCAGGACGTGATGAGCACGGTGCCTTTTGCACTTCGGTGGCGAAGATCTATCCGCCAGCTCTCAATGCAGCACTGGCGCAGAGTGTTGCGAATTTTGCGCTCAGCTTTGCGAGCACAGGACAAAGGGTTGAGCCCTTGTCGGATGATTTCCTGCTGATGCAGTCCTTTGACTTTGTCGAGTGCACAAAGGTGCAACCCGATTTTTACGGGTGACTCGATGTACAGATTGGACGCCAGCATGCATGTTCCAAGCAGACTCCTGCAGTATCCAGAAAGGAAAAAAAAAGGTCCCAAGCGACTCCTAATTGAATTAAACTGTGGATGTATAATGATTCCTGTATCGTTATCTGGTATCGGACCATCATGTTTGGGGTGGGAGGGGTCGCATGGGTGTGATTGTTAGGATATTTTTGCTGGAGCTTGAATACGAAGAAAGTATCAGTTGAAATTCAAACGTTCACATGTTGAATCTCATGATATCTTCCAGGCTACCCTCCAGTTGTAAGTTGGTTTATAAACCCATACCCTGTGGTAAATTCAACATACCTATTGAACATGGACCATTTATAGTTGATTTACCTATTAAAGATGTTGATTTTCAATAGTTATGTTAGTTTACCAAAAGGTAGTTTACAAACCGTATTCACCCCGCTTCGCGTGGGGTGGCCGCCCACACCGCAGGTTTATTTCGGTCCGTGAGAGGGGCTAAGGGTGGTTTTCCCCCGTGGGGGCTCTTCAAATAAGAAATCCTTCCAAAACATTGTTTTTGACAGTGTTTTTCCAATGTTTCCAGTCAAACAGACGGTAATTTACACGTTTTTTGCCATAAAGGCAGTAAATCCTTCCAAAACATTGCTTTTGACAGTGTTTTTGTAATGTTTCCAGTCAAGCATACGGTAATTTACACGTTTTTTGCTATAACGTCAGTCCAAAACACTTGTTTTTGCAGTGTTTTCAATGCTCTGGCATCCAAAAACCCTGCAAAATCTTGCTATGTACAATTTTTTTTTTCATTTTTGGCCGTTTTTCCATTGCCGGAAAGCTACCAAAATGACCCAAAATTCCATTTCAATACCCTCTTGCGCTCAGACACCCAAAAATCCTCGAAAAATGTCGAAAACACCACCGTATTCTGGTCTCGGTGCGAAACCGTTTTTGGGGTCTGGTCTCGGTGCGAAACCGTTTTTGGCCCCCCCCCCCAGCTAAAGCTGATATAGCGACTGCTATATTAACAAATGTCATTGAGCATTTAGTGTTGCTGTTGCCCCCCAATTAAGCACGCCTTCACCGCCAAAGCGGTGTGGGCGGATTTAATCTAGATAAATCTACCATATAACCCTGCTGGTGCACCACCTCATTGGGACTCTGTCATGGAGAAGTGCAGCCCCATTGGCGGCAAACAACCCCAGTTATCTTGGGGGAAAACGATCTCCAAATGGTGGGTAAACCCACCATCATGCCACATCTTTCTGTTTGTTGGAGGCTGTTATACAAGATGGTCACCTTTTTCCCACCCCAAATTTACAAAAAACATATGTAAGGCCAGCCTGGATGAGGGCATGAGAGATGTGATCCTCCCTTTTTTGAGGCATGTCAAGCTGTTTCAGCAGTCTCTCTGCTGCACATATTGCTGGTCTCAGCGGCACCGGAAACGACAGCTGTTTCAATGAAACTGGCCATCATTTGAGGTCCGTTTTAACGGTCCCTACCGATGATCTCCAATGACTGATATGTTGCTGAAACCACATAGTTCCGGATCTGCTGAGATGCAGATGAGTTCCCAAGGTTGCAAGAAACTTTTCTCCCCTTCGATGCATATGCTCGGGTTTGTTTGATGACAGGCAGATGGGTGGGCTATTTTTATGTGGACATGCCTTCTTCGAATGGGACAATCCCTACCGCTGGGTTGCATTCATCCCAAAAATTGCCAGGATTTATACACAGATATGACTCACTATATATCTACATTGCATTGTAGCCATGCCAAAGACCCGCCCTTACCTTTGTCAGCTTTTGCAAGACTTGTACAGTCATACTCTGAAGAGTTTGTGGAGTCTCGAAATTAAAACAAAAACACAAACGAACTTACTTCCACCTTTCCCAAGCTCAGCCAAGAGCAGGTGTGAGCAATGTGGTGACGGCATTTTCCTACTTCTGGATTGCTCACCAAGACTGGACCCATGAAGGATCTTTTTTGGCTGCTTTGGGTGGATCCTGCTTGTCGCCTGGATCAAAAATACGGCAAAACGAACAACTGGCTGGTGTTTTCAAATTAAATATTCTTTCTATTCTTAAGATGAAAGGATCACAGGCATATCAAAGGCAGCATTTTCGGTTGAAGCCTCCAGCCATCTCCAGCCGGTGTATCATCAGTGTCTGATGTCTCAGCTTGATATCAAGATACGGACGCGGTTTGATGTTCCGTGCCTGATTCTGGTTGACAGAAATAGAAACAGTTTTTCTCCATATTTCTCTTTCTCGTTGCTGACTTGCATTTGATCAACAAAAAATAGAATCTGAATGAATCTGAAAAATAATCGACATGGGTGTTTGTTATTTACCATAGATATCCACACATTTAGACTCTGGCTTGTTCCGCTTCCTGTTATATCAGTTGAGGCTTTTTTTCTCGGTAAACAACCCGTGTTGCAGGTTGATGTTTACCACACTGGTGCTCTACAAGCTTGATCTTTATGTCGCCCGATGAGAATCAGGGGATTTGCGGGGTGGATTTGGGGGTACATCGGTACATATTTGGAGGGTACCACCCAAACATGGATGGTTTATTTCATGGAAAATCCATCTATAAATGGATGATTTAGGGGTAGCCTTCTGACTTAGGAAACCTCAATTTTTTTTGACAAGGCCCCAAATATGAAACCATTCATGGGGTCAGGATCGCCTCCTTCCAGCAGCAGTCGGGCTTTCCAGGTTCATTCATCGTGTCATGACCTTCTCATCGCTTGCGACATCGGAATCTATATAAGAGAAGCGTCAGCATGTAGCCCGTAGTATCGCCACAGATAACCTAGTAATTGATGCACGTATGTATATTGATGTACTGTGGTGATGATATCCCACACTGGTTCACAGGCTCAATGAAAACTGTTGATGTGTTCACGGGGTTTTCAGGTTTTCATTTTTCGCGCGACTTCAGTGGCATCACAATTCACAGTTCACGGATGGATCATGACGGATCGGTCAAGAAACTGACAGGGAAAACAGCCCACGCCATTTAGGTTGGTCCATGGCCTGGGTAGATAACCTATTCCAAATCCTATCTGTTGAAAAACCTGCACCCCAAGAAAGCACAAAGAAATGCTCATTTGAGAGATTGATGCTGTTTGAGTATATTCTCTGCAAACGAGCTCAATTGCACCAATCTTGGCGTTTTCTGGGCGTAGTTTCATAGTTTCGCGGGAAATGAGCGTAAATAGGCGGGAAAACAGCGCAAAAGTTACAAACGAGCGTAAATCCAACTAAACAATGCTATCAGGAGAAAACGCTGCTTTTTTTTCAGAGATTGTGCCCAACTCACCAAATTGCCCTCCTCCCTTTCAATCAGTTTCCACCATGAGATGTAGCGAATCGCAGGTCGAAAAGAGACGTCTGTGGATTTTCAAATCTGTGGTTCTGTGTGCTCCCATCGTGTCTATGGCCTCCTTGATTACCTGGCGCAAAGGTCAAGGACTGTGACGAATGGCTATGGCAATGTGTTACCATGGGTTACCATTTTGTGAGTTGACAGGATAGAGTGGGTTACCATTTTGTGAGTTGACAGGATAGACGTGGGATTTTCATGGTTTTTACATGCATGGGGTAAATACGCATAAATACCTTTTTGGATCAGTTCATGCTGTTCATAACTGAATGTATTTCTCTGTTTCCTATGCTTTTCTGTCCTGTCGGAATATGTGCATTCAAAGGGTTGCAAAAGACTTTCTGCCCCTGCACATGCCCGGAAACAGATACACATGTGTACACATGCAGACACACGAATATTGTTTTTGCTTACAAAGGTCTTAGTTTAGGGAAGCGAAACTCACTGCATGTTTACAGTGACCTGGGTGTTCAGCAGAGGATGGCAAGCGGTTCATGCATTGACCGAGTGGGTTTTAGTCTGCAGCACTTGCCTCATGCCTCTCAGTGGCATTTGGAGTACGGTATCAAGATTCTTGCGAATTAAATGTGTGGGCATTTATCAGACTAAGTATCCCCGCTCAAGGTTTTTATTTCTGTGGTTCCTCATGAGCTTGGATGTTCCCGGCTTACAATCCATGTGTCTATCGATCAAGACCTTTTCAAATACCAATTTTACGGGGAAGAGCATTCAGAAGTCCCATCTATTTACCGTCCCTCCATCCACCAGCTATTTTTACCATGTTTTAACCCATCATGGTTATATGATTGCAGCTCTTTTATAAACTAAGAAGAGGTTTAAAAATCACCATTAAAAAATCGGTGGCAAATCATATCTGACTAAATGGGCCATGGCTTCCAGGTCGCAAACATAACAAATTGCCAGGTATATGGCCCATTATTATTGATTTTGTGGGAAAACCACCATTATATCACCGTTAAATCCCATGACATCCTCTAATATTTTGAGTAATTGTAGTCCCATTTAAATCCCATTAAAGCACAACAAAAATCCCTTGAAATCCGATAAGATATCCCATTTTCATCACTTTGAATCCCTTGGAGGTTGTGAAATTCCCAGGGAGTCCACCCTCCCTCCAAGGCACATTTGTTGGCTGGCACTCTTCGTTTGGGAAGCGAGGCCATCGAAGGTGCCGCGAAGGTTTGTCTGAATTTATCGCCCAAAATCTAATGGTCAATGATCAGACAGATCGGGGATGGTATCCAGATGAAATATGATGAAAAATTGCTATTGGGGATGGTATCCATTAGACATCCTGGTATCAATTTTTCATGTATCATCATGTATCATCATGTATTCGCCCTATGAAAAATGGCTATTTGGGGTATCCACCATGTCCAGGATCCACCATCTCCAGGTCCATATGGTCCATATGTCAATAGTGAACAAAATTAACCACGGCGAATACTTGACCATGGTGATGGTCGAATAGTTCACATTTATGATAGTTAAGCTCCAGTAAATAAACCTAGACGCTGAAGCACTAATCTTCCAACCTCCGACTGATGGTGAACCATAATGGAGTAATCGTCTCTTGTTAAATTCACTGTGAATAATATTCAGGCCAATTGTCAGGCATGAAAATCTTATGGGTTGAGTTGATATGCCATAGTGAAGAAACAAACGCATATAATTATATAATTCTATGGCATTGTAGTGCTTAAGCTGGTTGTTAGTTTAGTATACTTTAGTGATGTATAGTTATAGTTATAGTTTTAGTTCCACAATACCCATATCATTTTAAGTGTTTGTTGATTTGGAGAATCTGCGACCGATTATAAGGATCAGTTGGTGCTTCGTGGGATGGTGGTCGGGAAATGCGTCAACACTGATTTATGTATTTCTGGACATGGATAGAGCACAAGGGCATTCTGGAGGCCATTGTCCATATATATATATAATTATGTATATATATAATTATATAATTATATATAATTATATATAGTTATAATTAATATATATATATATATATTATACGTATAGTATAATGTAGTGATTTGCCAACATTTGGATTATTTTTGGTGTACCTGAATGGTAGGGGTTTGACTTCAAGCTTCACATTTGGTGGACTTTGTTCTTCTGCCCCCTCTCATGGGCCGAAGACCCATGGATTTTTACTGGATGAGACCCTCGCTTATGTTTGTTGGTTTATAAACGTTCTATTCCCCATAGCCATCCATAACCCTAGTTAAGGAAGTGAACGAAACCAACATAGCGACCATCAACAATCATCAATCATCTACGTTGGGACTTCACAACTTTCACAGCCTCACATGAATGGCAGAAACCTTAGCTCCACTATGGAGCCTTTGCGCGGCAAGTGCTCATAAGACCCAACTTTTGGGTCCCTAATGTTAAACAATGTAAAACAATTCGTAAATAGCAATCACGAAGCCCCTTTTCTGGCAAGTTCTGCCCAGATACTTTGGTGGCCTCCCATTTTTTCCAGCCATTTTCCGCCCCGGAACAGGAGAACTTGGATTTGCCCTTGAGTTTCAGATCCGTGCGGTACCTGGACGTATTCAGCAGCCTCAGAAAAAGGCCAGGTGGGGCAGATCATGGCCTCAGCAGCCGACAAACCTGGTGGCATGTACACAATGAATCACGGAATTTAGCCATCGACAATGGTGAAGAAATGTGCTTCGGCCAGCAACAAAAAAGTGAATTGAGATAAGTTAACCAAAGAACACGGACATCCAGGTTGAGAAAATGTAGGGTGAACCGGTGAACCTCATTTGATGGCAGTTTTCATGGCAACAATATTTCCAGGCAACCACATGTGGGATTGAGATTGGCAACACCACCGACTCATCGTGAATAATTCATGGAAGACGCCATGTTTGGATGGCAAAACCACCTGTTTGATGTAGATGTTCCCGGACATATCCAGAAATATCCGCAGTCATTGATTTGGAAACTAAGCCGTCACTGTGTAAGGCATGATGCTAAGGAGAGAACGCTCTCCGGGCATCCGCAAATTTGATAAATGGGTAAATTGGTACGGGCCATGGTAAATTGGGTAAATCGATAAAGCGGTAAATTTTGCTGTATCCGGGCAAAGGTAAATTCGGTAAATCTGTAAATTTTAACCTCGTAGTGTCATAGTACAACTTGACGAATTACCTTTTATCGGTTTTACCGCCTTTTCCTAGTACATTGATACACTACGCCTTTACACATTTACCATCTTACAGCCTTACTTAAATGTAGGGTGAACCTCATTTGATGCAGTTTTCATTGCAACAATATTTCCAGGCAAACACATTTGGTCTTGAGATTGGAATAGATTGGCTCACCACCAACTCATCATGAATTCTTGGAAAACCCCACGTTTAGATGGCAAAACCACCTGTTTCATGTAGATGTTCCCGGACACATCCAGAAATCAACGCATTGATGTGTTGCTCTTTCTCCAGGTTGTCACTGGCCATATATAAGGTCTATGTAAGGCCTATGTAAGGGGATATATACCCCACAAAATATTGCCTTATATGGTACAGTATCTCCATTTTAGGATCCTGGAATTCCCATTGAAGTTGTGTTGGGCAAAACTAGTTCAACCTCCAGTTTCTTGAGGTTCAACCCAATCATTTCGGATGTCACCAGGCAAACCCTCCAGCGGCAAATGGCCAGTTCCGCCTCGCGGCGACGACGTGCGAGTGTGTGGCGCAACTGCAGTGGGGTGCATGAGCCAAATATTAAAACTCACCATTTTTTGTAACATGTTATATCCGGTTATATATGTATATATATATATATCCCTAGAAGTCTAAGGTACGTACTTTTAAGGTCTTAGCCATGTCCGTAGAAGTGGCCATAAAAGGTACGTGTACTTTTAAGGTCTTAGGCACCTAAAAGTACGATGGGAACAGCTCCGATAATGCTCCGTTTAAGGTCTTAGGCACCTAAAAGTACGATGGGGAATGCCTACCTAAAAGGGCCCTGGAACCCATCCAAACGCCAACATGTGCTGTGATGATGTGGTGGATTATGCTGCTTCCGGCGCACAAAATGAACCTATAGAGAAACGCAGCATGTTATGAATTTTGAAATCGTAAGTTTTCGTGAGTTGGACCCATAAGGTACGAGTATAGACCCATGAGGTACGCTAAGACGGGTGAGTTTTAGTGAGTAGGACCCAATAAGGTACAAGTAAAGACCCATGAGGTACGCTAAGACCCGTAAGGTACGAAGAAAATCGTGAGTTTTCCTGAGTTTTCGTGCGTAGGACCCATAAGGTACGAGTAAAGACCCACGAGGTACGCTAAGACCCGTAAGGTACGAAGAAAATCGTGAGTTTTCGTGAGTTTTCGTGAGTAGGAACCATAAGGTATACGAGTAAAGACCCATGAGATACGCTAAGTAGGCTAAGACCCGTAAGGTACGAAGAAAATCGTGAGTTTTCGTGAGTTTTCGTGAGTATAAGGTACGAGTAAAGACCCACGAGGCACGCTAAGACCCGTAAGGTATAAAGAATATCGTGAGTAATCGTGAGCGTTTTTTTCAGTGCATCTGAATTTGATCTTTCAGCAAAGTGATTGACCAAAACGCTCCTGGATTTTTCCTGGTCCAATGGTTGAATTCGCAAGCCAGGGATCCTAACAGTGAGCCTGAGATTTGTTCAAATACAAGAAATTGAGTGGTGCTCCCTGATATTGCTCATGTCATCTATGCGAACCTTATATATATATAATAGCCCTCGGCCGTAGAACACCCGGCATTTCTATAACTTCCTCGGCCGTAGAAACCCTCGACATTTCCATAATCCCTTTTAGTACCACTCTGTAGGTGGCCCTTCCTTTTAAAGTCCCAGGACTTTCAGGGTATATTAATATTATATCCATAACACATTTAGGGGTCATGTCTCAACCTCTAGTTTGTATTCCCATTATTTGTCCACTTGTCTACCCTTTGGTACTTCATTAGTTCGGTGAATGGTTGGAACTTGAGATGTTCTTGAGTGCTCGGACATGTTAGAGAATGTTTGATGATTCTCTCAATTTCAATGACTCCATGTGGTTGTTTTGATGATTTTTATCCAGCAAGTTGGAAGTTGCGAAACTTGCGACATCAAGACCACATGCCAATCAACTTGCGATGCAGCAATGCATCCCCGGCAAGGTCGGAGAATAGTGAGGCGCCGGGAATGAAAGGGAGCTGGGAGGTTTTTCGTGCAAAATCATGGCAGAGACAGGTACAGGTAGAGGAGTAGAGGACCACTTTATGTCGCAGCCTTTCAAGTTGTGTTGGAAGATGTTGGAAGGAGATGGGAGCGGTTGAGCACTTGTCGGCGGACTACATCTTCCATTTGATCCGAGAGCTGCTGAACCTTGGCCCATTCCAGGTAAAGTAGAAGGATCTGTACGTGGAGGATGGTGGGAATGCAGATCGGAGTCTTGCGACTTATATGCCAAGTGTGAACATGTTTTTTTGAAGAGTGCATTGATGTTCTGTGGAAATTTAAGGTTTGAGACATGTAGATAGACCTGCCATGTCATGACCAGTGGCAGCTGAGGAATGCATGTGAACATAGCCAAAGTTTGCTATCCGAAGAAGAGGCTTCAGCAGGGGGGTGGTGTTGCTTGAATCAGTCAACTAGTTGCGTTGCATTTAGCGCACCATGTCTAATATATATATATATATTTATATATATATATATTTATATAAATATATATATTATATATATATATATTGGAAGGATATTGGAAGGTGATTGGATTGGTTTAAGGGAAAATTTACAGGAAACCATAGATTTTCCCATTACATATGGGGCTTTCCTGTAGATTTTCCCTGAAACCAATCCATTGAGAAGGTGTTTGATGGTTTTGTACCCATTTCTTGTTTTTTCCCTGAAATAAACTCTATGGATCGGGCAGTGGAACGTGTGAAGCTCCCATTCTCTGAGACCTGGGGGTATGGTTTCTGAGTTTCACTATGTTTCGCCCCCTGAAATACTCACGTTGTTTGTTAAGCATGAAGGGGAAACACCAACTTCCAGAATGCAAGCGGCTTGAAAAAAAGGTGGATGTGGCACACTCAACTGGGTCCAAGAACCTGCAGCGGCTGTCATCACAAGCCTTTCCTGGATTCATCTTTGAAATTTTACATTATCACACTCAAAATATTGTGAACTTCAACACAAAGTCACATTGTCTTACAATAAGTTATAATAAAGATGTTTATATTTATATATATATCACATAATACACATCAATCAACCCCCAAAATGCTCATATAGATTTTATTCATATGAGCAAATGAGTTTCAGATGTTCCTCTCCGGGCCAGGTGAGATGTCTTCAGTTGGCCAAAGCTCGCCTGCTGGAGCGGGGCATGTCACCGGACGCGGAGCCGCAGGGACACGGACACGAGGGCCTTTGGCGCCTTGGTGCCGTGGGGAGCTGGTGAAAAACGTATAGGAAAACATGGGAAAATGGACAGGAAAACTTAGGAAAGTCCTGGACTTGTGTTTGTAAAGATGGTTTTCTTATAGATACGAACAGTTTGTTCTGCAATTGATATGTTGAAGTGCTTTTAATCAAGTTGATGGTTGGTGAATAGATGTTAAATTCGATCCCGATATGCCGATATGCCGATATTGAAACATATTTTCCATACCCCTCAGAAACGGTGACCTCGTACTGGGTTTCTCATTATTCATGACTTGGGGTCCCATGTTGGGGACTTAATATTAGCGGCATGGAATTATTGGACATCCAGCAGGTACTGTACACTGGAGCTGATTGTTTCACTTTTTTTGACATATCCAGCTCTTGAGATCTCCACCGAAGTGGTATTGAGACCAAGCAGCAACCATAAGAAGAGGGCTTGACAGCGGCTCAGCTAAGTTTTTTCTTTTGATGTCGGCTGAAACTTCCAAGATCTGGCAGACTTGCTCCAAGTTGTTTGTTCCCAGTGGGGAGTGGGGAGGCCAACATACCTGAAATGCCATCCCCCTTGCAGTTGGGCAAGCCATGGCAAGCTGCAGGTTGCAAAGAGTCCTGGAAAATGACCTGGGTCAACCTGTGCTGTACTTTGTGAACACCAAAACGCGCCTCGGTGAAGCCATACAGTAGAAGTTGTGAAGCTGATGAAGAACATAGTGACATGTGGCATACATACTTGCTTAATGATGAGTTGTGTAACAGTATTTATATTTCTGTTGGACTTTCATTTATAGATTATTCGTTGCGATCATTTGGGATGTTTTTTTCCAACCCCGGGCTTTCCCCATGACACTGGGGAAATCTGGGGACACTGGGGCTGCTCTGGCCTTGCGTCCGGATGCAGGTTGGATGTGATGTGGACCGATCCGCCCATCTCGCAGCAATTGTTCTTCGAGGACCTAGACATGGAAGCTCCACTGCAAGGGGAAGATGTTGGGGGGAAGCCTGAAGAAAAAACATGGCACCCTGAAGAAAGGATCCTGGGATTTTTGTTGGAAGTTATAGAGGGATCTTCCCTAAATCCCATTGCTATTTAGGATTTAAAATGTATAGTGTTTTACAGGGTGGTGGCTTGATCTCACATTGAATCCGGGTTGAGGCAAGCGCAGCCATTTTCGAAGCAGCATTCAATGCACATCATTTTAGTTGCACCGAATTGCATCATGACCTGGTGAACCTTCCGAATCTCAGTTTGCTCTGACCCATTTTGATGAATCATTCACAGCTATATGTGTTCATAATGTATTCAGATGGGTAGCACCACCAGTGGCTAGATCAATCATGATCAATCTAGATCATATATTATTTTAATCTATATTCGTATTATTATATGCACATTGATAGAACATCTGATTGATTCAAACACACCATTTTCAATGACTCTAGGCCCCTATAGGCTGTCTCGGATCTCCCTTGGCAGCACCAAGGAGATTCGGAGGCTTGTCGATCCCGCCGGTGAGTCTCTCGCTGGCGACGTCATTTTGGGGCAGGACTGGTTGGTTGTTGTTCGGTGTTCATTGCCCGTTGCCTCTTGGTGGCGATTTTCTATCCCTCCTTCCGATGAGCAGGAAACCAGTGACGATCTGCAGCAGTTTGAAATCGCGGGTTCGGAGGTGGGATGTGGAATGGATTTGGGCACCCCCACTTGATGCTGACTTGCTATTATTGCAGAAGTGCAGAGATTTCCATGGGGGTCATTTCTATATGTGTCTTTGATTGGAATTCTGTGCGTGTGCGTGTGCGTGTGCGCGTGCGCGTGTGCGTGTGCGTGTGCGTGTGCGTGTGCGTGTCATGTGCGGGTGCGCGTGCCCGTGCGTGCGTGCGTGCGTGCGTGCGTGCGTGCGTGCGTGCGTGGGTGGGTGGGTGGGTGGGTGGGTGGGTGTGTGTGTGTATGTGTGTGTGTGTCTGTGTGTGTGATTGTGTGTTTGTGTGTGTGTGTCTGTGTCTGTGTCTGTGTGTTTGTGTGTTTGTGTGTCTGTGTGTGTTTTTGTGTAACATCTGAATATACGTAAGACTTCTAATTATGCGGGGGGAGAAATCTCATGTTTGCAGCTGATTGCCCAACGAAGAGGGCTGCATTTTGATATGACTCTGGGACGCTGGAGTCACGTACCTGCTCAATCCAAATTTTGCTGCGATAGCAGCTGGCTAAGCTCAGAACCGGCACGGCATTTTTGCATTTTCACATATTTTTATTCTGGTTTTGTTCATGCACGGAAGTCGCAATCTGGTTTACTTAGATGATTTGACGATGGCAACGTACACTGGCTATGGCGATGGTAGCTCCGACAACACATTTGGTTTGGCATTATCTTTTCTGACTTGGTGATACTACTTGGCTCTGTTGATGTATTATCGGGCATTACCGAACCTTTTGACTATTTTCGGGACAAGGCCGTGATGAACCGATATTCCACTTGGTTATCGACATGTACCTTCGTTGATCTAGAATCTACTTAGGCTCGGATTACTGGTTTGGCTACGGGTTACGGGATTCAGTTCCCAACCGATCACTTCAGTGATCTTGTTCTGGTCTAGTGTGTGTGTGTGTCAAGCAAGACCTGCAAAATGCACTTCTTTAAAAAAAATAAAGTAAGTTATTTTACTAGCTTAGCAAACTTGACTATGACCTAAGAAAGTAAATGTTGCAATTTGTCAGCCTAGGTGCGTTGATTCAGGTGGGTCTACAGATGTTTACAGCAATGAACATTGGGTGTCAGGATGAACTTTCTGTTTTCCCCACTTTTACTCTAAAACGAATAGAAGTAGGATTAGCTTTTCAGAATGCGAAAGTCTGGATTAGATTACAGTAATGCCTGGGCACGGCTACGGTTTGATTGGTTCCATGCCTTAGAACACCAAGTCTGAGTCTGTATTGCATATCCTCTCGACGTATGCCGCGCTTAATGTTTGATCATCTTCCAGATGGTTTCCCCCGGCTTGCGGCTGGCAGTGTCCGTTGTGCCCACTGTTGTTTTTTTTTGTTTCTATCGAGTTAATATGATTATTATGGTTTCGGTTTGCAAACACTACAACTCGGTTTAATACTTGATTGTCTGCGATTTTGGCTTAATATGATTTCTATAGTTCAAACTTGTTAGAACCCGTTTGAGTTTGTTTCAAACACTTAGTGCCTTAATGATTTGTGTTGTGATCACATGAGGACCCCCCAAAAGGGCCAATAAACTGGCAACACTTGAGAAAATCATGATCAGCTCTGGATGGACTGGGGTATCCCCAATCATGAGACAAGCCAATCTTGTCTTCGAGCCACTGTCAAAAGTGCAATTAATCATATGATTATCGTCATTTTTGCAGGATATCAGAATGGGCAATCCGCAAGTTTGAGTTTCAATCCCGATTTGGTTTGGTTTCGACGCATTTCTGCTCGCAAACTCTTGGTTTTCTTATGTTTCAATGGTCCATTAGTGTGTTTGTTTTACCCTCCAATAAACTAACATTCACCCTGCCACCATGGGCGTTCGAAGTCTACTTTGCAACCTTAATTGGCAATTCTCAGTGTCAAACTGTTACTTCGCGGGTATGGTAAATGATCATCTTCGATAACTTCCCATTTTTCTCGGCGAAATCACAATTCTTCACGACTTTTGCTGGTTACTCTGATATAAATAAACGAACATCAATATGGATCACTTTTGTAGGTCCGTTTCCATTATGTAATTTCCCATCGTTTTTCATATCTTCCCTCGCTAAACCCACCACTCGTGAGGCTGCCGAGGGTCCCTCGGTGCCGGCTGCGCAACAGCCGCTGGTGCCCACGCTGCGAAGACCGGGCTCCAGCCACGCGGTCGCGGAGACGGCTTGGTTTAATGTGGTTTAATGGGGAAAAAATGATGGTTTAATAGGTGGCTTCATGGTGATTAAACATGATTTACTGGTAATTTCGCATGATTTATTGGTGCTTTCATGGGATTTAATGGGGTTTAATCCGTTCATCCTAATACCAACCGCCGCCCCTCCCTGAATAATAAGCACGTGCAGTAGTTGTTTCTCCCTAATATTAAATAAATGTTAAATTATAACCTTAATAGCCAGAATTTTCTCCTTCAAAATCGACTAAGTTTGCTTTTAAAAACTAATTCAAATATTGCCAAAAACTGGATTTCGAAGCTTCCCCTAATGCCAACACAAGTAGAGGCACCCAATTGGCTTTACAAAGATTGTGATGAAATTGCTTCATGAAACTCACGGCATTCCATGTGGGACACGTACTTGCTAGTCACCAATCCAAACGCACTATTCACGATACACAGACGACAGGTTGGTCATTGCGTTGGTCTGTTTCCAGACACCAGAGCAAACAACTGTCAGAGTTTTCTTCCTCTTCCTTACATTTCCCCACGCCTAAAGTATAGCAAGTTTAACATCCACTTCTGAGTCTTAACCCACCTACTAGAAACAATTATTCATCAACTAGACTAGATCCCATCAACTCAGAACTCCCCATTACATCTCCATTACTGTATATATACAAATCCCCCAGGCAAATCATTGTCCTAATGAAGCACAGAAGAGATCCCCAAGTCCCCAACTCTGAGGCCATGGGCAGTCCAGCATGCCGTGGAAGTACTTTCTACAGATTTCTTCCATGATTCTCTGCGTTTGGGTTGTGACCACTTTGCAACTGGGCCGACGTATGGAGGATCATCCTGCGGAGAAGTGGTTAACTGCTTAGAATCTGTAACCCTGGTTGATAAGCCTGGTTAGTAGGTTTCCTCAGGCATCCCAGTTATGTAGGGTATACCGCCACTTACTAACCACAAGTACAACATGACAATATTTTTCCAACCACCTCCTAGAGATCTGGAAATCAAACATGCCTATCTGGGCAACCCTCTATTGATGGTGTTTTTTTGAGAAAATTCATCGAACTAAATGGGATGATTGTCCATTGCCATGTTTCATTACCGGTGGGCATAGGAAGTACGGCTTGACGCTGGCACCCTGTGTCAGACCTGAAGTTGTGTCTGCTGGTGAAGCCACGACCTTCCAAAAAAGTTGAACTGCATTTGAACTGCGTTGCCATTTTGAAGACTATCAGGGATGCGTTTCAAACTTATTTGTTTCACATGGATTCAACGTCTTTCAATACTGTATAATGTGCATTATACTACGTATATATAATACTCGACTTTTTTTATCATTAAACAACTCAAAGAACTTTCTTATACGTTCTTGTTTGAGTGCCGGGTCGCTTGAGGGATCCCCAATTCGATCCGACACGTTTGGCCAGGTATTGCATGATCAATGTCGGAAGAGAAGCCGGACGTGCCACGCTGTTTCAGGGCAAGGCTGGACCATGGCCACACGACTTCTTCGCGCCGGGCTCCTCAGGAGCTCACTGCAACACTGGAATGATGGATCTGGGTAAATTATAACGACCTCACTGCGACCGAGCCCTGGAATCATGGTTAGTAAGGGAAATCATCCCCAAATGGCCTTAATTCAGGTTGGTGAATTATTATAATTTACCCAGATGGATAATCAAGGGAATCATTTTTTAATTTGACTGGCCTTATTTCAGGATGGTGTATTGCTAATAGACAGATGGATAGATATATAGATGGACACAGGTTACATTAGATGGTTAGACTGGTGTAGATGGATCGATTAGGATGGATAGATTCGATTAGATTGATGGATAGCTGTTTTTTTGTATCCCCAATATATCCCCACATATATAATTATGTACATGTAGAATTATCTGTTCTACTATCACCTGAACCGTTAGGCCATCGGCGCTAGCGTGTCATGGGCAACAGGTGCTGCTAGGCACAGGGATGCCCCTGTTCACAGTTGGAAGGTGTAACAACTAAAAAATCAACATATCATGGGGATGTGACAGGAACATATGTGGATATTACTTAGCTAATCAACAATATATACATATACATGTTTATATATATATATAAATATAGATAGTGTATGTCTGAAAATGTGGTATACCCCAAAAAATATCATGTCTAAGGTGAAGATGCCTATTAGCCAATGGGAGGTTATGATGCTGTAAGTGTACAATCATGGTTCCTCTATTATGTTGAATTATGACAGCTCTATTTTGATGTGGGGTGTTTACATATCTGATATGTTTGTTGTTTCCACTGACTGTTTAATGCATTTCAATCCATGTTTTTATCTCAAGGGCCAACTTAGGGAATCTTCTCAATCGCTGTCACAAATGCTGTACATGTTTTGCCCCACTATGTCATTCTTCAAACACATCAAACGTTCTAGTTTCCTGGAACTTGGTTGGCAGGCGATCGATTTACAGTATATCCTGGTCGGATAGATCAAGAAGGTCTCTCCATGGATGATGCAATCTTTAGCACATTGGAAGGCCATGGTTTCGAATGGGGTGCCTGAGCTTGAAAGACCGGTCCTTTCTTTCCAAGGCTCAGTTAAACCATGTTTAGAGCATGTTGCTTCTTTCTTTACCCCAAATGACTGGGATAATCTTCAGAAGTGAAGGAATTCTCTGCTTTCAGCCTTTGAGGTGCCATTGCGGCCAGATCTGCGCAGCATCTCTTCCTCTTGCAGCGCGATGGACACGCCATCCACGAGTTCTTTGATGGCGCGTTAGTGCAGCGATGGGAGGTGTCCCTGGCGGACGCGGTTCATGCCATGTCGCTTCTGAGTGCTGATCTGGCCAGGCAGCATTGTCAGAATTCTGCCGCGAGTCAACTGCAGAGATTTGGGTATAGTTTTGGGAAGCTTTTGGGGGGACCCCATGAAGTGTAAAAGTCGCTAGTTTGTATATGGTTTTCTGATCTAACATGGTTAGATGCCGAGGCCGGTAGTTTTTTGTGTTGTTTTTGTTTTCTAAACGCGATGCTGCTTGTAACACCCATTTGAAGCTCTAGCTTATGAGGGACCACTTCCAAAAAGGAGGCCAGGAGCGTGACAAAAACTCTTCCATTCCATGATCCACAGGTGCAAACAGGTTTGTTTCAAGACTGCATTGATCAGTATCTGAAGCTTCTCCCCTTGGACCAATGAGAGCTCCCAGGTGAACCTGACATCCATCCCTGGGCCATCCTGGCAGCTGCCGGCCATGACGTTGTGATCCTCTGCCCGCGCAGCCACGGGAGCCATGGGACCTTGTACCCCAGGCGATGGTTGCCACAGGCAGCGTCCGAGCACGCTACGGTGGCATTACAGATGCCATCCAGGGAACATTTGTGGCTTTTGAGAAGCCAAACTGTGGCGAATCAAGCGGAGAAGTCTGCAAAAGTATGGCTGGTGGCTTGCTTGCAGAACAGTTGGGCTGGCAGTTTTGGACAGAATGGGGGTGGTTTTCAGTTTGATCTGCGTTTAATGATGAATGTAAAGATTTTAAAGGTTCATGCCTCTTGAATCCAAGCGACAAGACTTCGTTCCTAGGCAATTAGGTCAATCTCTTTTTGCACACCAAGGGTCCGTTTCGGCCACCACAGCCACCGATACTTTGTTGCAGGTCAGAGAACATTTGCAGAGCGGGCATATGGACAACTTTGCATTGCCCAAAGGCCACTCCACAACTGCTTGACGGTGTCGAAACTGGGTGTTGACATCTATCTATCCCACCAACAGTTGGTGCCCATTTCAACCCCAGCTAGACCAGATGTGAAAACATCCATGTATTGGCACTATTGATGCTTGTTCCATCTTGTTCCACGTCTATTCGATTTTTAAAGGAATGGCAACTTGAACATAATTCCAGGCCCATTTTTGGAGGATTAATCACGCATGTCAATTGCTCGTGCAGTTGGTTTAACCCTCCCCATTGTTTTAAAAGAAAATCTCAAAAAAAAACAAGAACATGTTTAACCCCCCAATATTTTGGCAGTTGTGTCACCCCCTTTGTGGTCCGCAGATCGCTCTTGGGCTCCGGGACTTTGCATCCGAAACTCCTCCTTGCTGCTTGCTGTGCCTGGGCGATGTGGGGATGAACCAACACAACTTGTGGATGGAATCAGCGGAATGAGATTTTTTTTTTCGCAGCCATTGGGGATGTAAGCACTTTTCCGCTCCTGGAGGGTTGAAACAGACATGTGTTTTGTTCTTACCAAGAAAAGATGGAATTCTACCCTTTTGATGCCTTTGTATCCTTTTGTACTCCGAACTTGGCAATGGAAATAACCTTCTCTTTGAATTATCAATAGGATACCAGCCCCCTAATTACCATAGACTCCTAGGCCCAAACAACTGGTCTATGTTTAGTTGAAACATCCATCTTCCAACCCCCAACTTATGGCAGCCTGGCAGGGCCCACCCCAAAAGGCCAACAAGACTTGGGGGTGAAAGCCTCAAGGATGTAGCTTGCCAGGACACATTATTCGTATAGTATATAGATGCTATAGATATATAGATACTATCGATACATTGGATGTACAAAGTATCATGTATGTACAATGTATATATCTATATACAGATGCATGCATGCTTAGATATATATATATATATGTATAAGCTATGGACGTTTCACAGACAAAACACTCCTGAAAAATAGAGAAGACATATCAACAATAATAGCTAGCCTATTGATGCGAGCCATGATTTTTGTGACACATATAGGCATGGGTCAAATGTTGAGACCCGGGGCCACAGATGTTTCTCATTCTTTTTTGCAACACCATCCCTTTTTGGGATACCCAAGTCTTATCCATGCCCATATGACCATAGGTCACATATTTTGCTTGCCACAGAGACCATGCCATATGCCGAGGCTTACCATCCACGAGACAAGTCGCCTGAAATTTGGCACTTAGAGACGATCGATTCATGAAAAGATGCAGCTGTTGGGTGAACATCAAAAAAAGATCGAAAAAGAAGATTCCACATAGATTTGCGGTCAACCATCTGGAAACCCGTCAGGTTTGGGGTTTATTGAATTTGGGAAAATTATCTCTCATATATATAGATATAATCTTGGTTGATTGAGATGCAAAAAGACCTCAAGAGTGGGCCTATGTTTTAGGCATGGAGCTTGACCCAGAAAGATCTAAAGAACATTTATGATGTGAAAACCAATGAACGGACATATTCGCAATACCTAAACATAGATCCGATTATAACTGGCTTGGACAATGATTTGACGTACATATATTTTGAGGATTGGTTGAAACTGTTGTTCAAGCACCAATCGATGTCAAAGAGCACGTGCATGTCCGCAGACTTTTAGCTTCAGAATGCCCCAACTCTGGCTTGTTTTAGTTTGTGTGTTTTAATGTTTTGGGTCACTTGCCACGTCCGGTCTGGGTTAAATATTGATCTTCTTTGAAGTTCATTGAGATGTGAGTCGTGCGCCAGCACTGGTAGGTATTTCTATTCAAGTCGTGCCGTGGTCGTCGGATTTTTGGCGCCATGTAAAGTGAGAAAGGCAGCCGAAAGTCTCCAAAAGATGCAGAGGTGATTTGTGTTGTCATCCAGGCGCCAAAAAAGTGATTGATGATGTTTGTATGCATGATGCCTCAATGAGTTTAGGTTTGATTTCGTATCGATCTCGGATATCAATCTTGTGTTTCTAGTTGATGCAGTCCAACGGGAGAACCAAAAACTGGCATTGAAGTTGATTGGCATGAATTGTTGACACGGCCAACACACCCTCAAAGGCATGTTGAAATCCCACCGATTCCAGTGACATCTCTTGCAGATTCTTGCAGAGCATCCTGATTTCATGGTGAAACTCATGACCGCCAAGTTGGCAGGAAAAGACCGTCAAAGAAAAGGGTTCCGGCCTGTTTGACCTGCGCCACGTTTGAATCCTGGTTTCCATGTTGAAGCACCCAACAGTTCCAGCCCTTGACCCACGCCTGTTTGAAGTTCGTCTTGCCGGCCCGTTTTGTGAATGCTCCGTGCCCGTCCACTGTCAGCTGGGGCAGGCTCTGATGGAAAAGCGGCTGCTGAGGGTCTCTTGGATGGCTGGGAAATCTCCGGAAAATTGGGATCCATAGTTATCCTCTGGTAATCAAATGTGGCAACTGGATATAATTGGAGGTTTGAATGGAAGAGAATACATGAAAATACTATAAATGGGAGACTGTCCATTGCCACGTGTGTTATGTTGGGTTTTGCATTTTTTTATGCGGCAAATTGATGGTGCACCAGTGGGTTTAGGGGTACACTATATACAGTACTGTATTTTCATACATACTGCATACTCTCCAGTAAAAATAGATGTTCCCTCCTTTTGCCTGGAAACATAATCTACAAATATAGAATGGCTATTGGTTGGTAGATAATGGTTGTTACATTACCCCATTGCAAACCATGTTTACAAGCTTTAATGGTTGGCATCTGGGGTCATTTGTTGCCTGCCGATTTACAAGCTTTAATGGTACTCCAGTCCAGCCACATGGTTCAATTGTCCTACGCCAAGCAGTTGGGAGAAAGAACAGCCCCAAGGACCAGCCTACATCATCCTACATCTGCATACTGTGGACTTAGTGTACTTATTTCATCTTATTTCACCTTATTTCTAGAATGGAGAAAAGATGAGAAGACTAGCTGCAAAATTCAGAGCACAAGTCAACCATGCCATGTTGGAAGAGTTTGCTGGACTGTCAGCCCAAGACAGAACTGTGATGAACGACCTGTTGACATCCCACGGATGAGGTAAATCCCACGATGAGGACTCCCCAACGCGCCTTGAAGTTTGTGAGACGAAAACGTGTCACATGAAGAGCATGGAGCATGCGCTGTTCCAAAGAGACAAAAAAACAAAGCAAAATCTGCAGGAAACCTGGAAAACCCGCAGCCCTTTAAGGCAGCATTTGCTGCGCAGGAGTCTGTCAGTGTCGCGGGAGGACGAGGCACATTTGCCATCTCAGACGAGTTGCTTTTGCAAGATGTTCAAAGGATTTCTCCACTGAAGTCCCCAAAAACACCGTAGTTGCTGATTCTTCACTAATATCCAGATGTAATGTACAACAACATACAACAACCAACCTTATCAACCACCACATCTTTCATCCTTTGGGAAGGCGATGATACGGATGCCTCCAAAGATGCGGCCAAGGCGGCATCGGGCGCCTAATATGTCAAAATGTGTCGGACATTCGAAACGTGTTAAATGATGATGATGAGGATGGGGAGAAAACGGATGACGCTGACGATGGCAATGAGGATGAGAATGATGATGATGATGATGATGGTGATGGTGATGGTGATGGTGATGGTGATGGTGATGGTGATGGTGATGGTGGTGATGGTGATGGTGATGGTGATGGTGATGGTGATGGTGATGATGATGATGATGATGATGCTGGTGGTGGTGGTGGTGCTGGTGGTGGTGGTGGTGGTGGTGGTTTGTTCATGATTAATTACCAAATTGATTTGCATGTGTTTTCATGGTGGTTGTGATGATTGTTCAGTGAGACAAGGTCACTCTGATAACAATAACCCAGATACAAATAGCACCAAATAGACACAATATTTAATATATCACAATATGTTTTTTTTTAAGTATTTTAATAATATATTAAGTACTATCACAGGTATAATCATGATGACTGGTTATCATAAGTACTATACGTCATCGTAATGACGTTGCTGGTTGCATGTCTGGTTCTCGGTGTCTACGACCATCACTGAAGAGGTCATTGCGCAAGTGGAATGTGCTGGCGAGGCGTGAGCCTCGGGACTTGCCTGTTGGAAAAACGTAGGAGTCGCGAAAGGTATATATATATCTCTCTTGTTTTTATCCGCGAAGAATGGCCGTTTGCAGAGAAGAGAATTTAGACTAACTTTCATACATAAATATATATAATTATTTATACACATATCGATATGTCCATCTATCATCAACTATCCCCAAATCTCGATAGATATGTTCCCTAGACATGATTAGGGGTTACAGTAACTATCCCCATTAAATGCCCACAAGTTTTCAGCCAGATACCCTGGGGATGGTTCCCATCCTGGGGGACCGGGCACGGCTGAGGCGGTGTTCTCCCCGCGTTTCGTGGCCGTGATCATCGCCTCACTGACGAAGCTAGGCGCGGTTCAAGCCACCGGAAAAGGGGGGTTTTGAAAGATGAATTCATGGAATTAAAGTAGATTGAGCGTCTTGAAACAAAAATACATTAAAAAAATACTGTTGTAGGAGATTACCTTGTTGGGTTATAGGATGCTATAGGTGCCATTGACCAAGTGTGCGTGAGGCTTACAACTGCCAAAACATTGTTTGTTTCAGCGGCAAGAGAGCCGAAAGTGTTCTGGTGGCAATGCTGGGGCAGGCACCAAATTTCCGGAATTCGCTCCTCGAGTTTGGTGCTCAGGACTGATGGAATGATGGCTAGTAAGGGGAATTATCCCAATAGAAACGTATTTCAGGTTAGTGAATTATTGTAACTTACCCAGACTGATGGAATAGAGTCATTTGATGCGAAACAGGAGTCAAGTTTGGAAAGAGTTTGATTCAAAAGTTGCTACAAGAAACTCTGAATTCGTATATGTACATAAAGTTGCATGTGAAGTGATTCACTTCAGAAGCATCTTCACATACGCTACCACTGCTGTTGGAACTCTTGCTGCATGTAGCCGCTACAGTAGCCCAGGTGGTCTTGTGTTTGCTAAAGATGCAACAGCACTATGCTACGGACTACAGCGAGGCACACTTGCAGTCTCGCCTCGTGTGCAAGATCATCTTATGATATATATATATATATACTATATTATACATTGTATCTTTGCGCTGTGCTTACACTGTAATTAAACAGGTACCGTACTGGATGTTTGTATGTTAAATTTGTGTTCCTTGTTAAACTCATGACAAGTTCATAACTTACAAGAACTTTAAGTTCATCACATTCATCACCCCTTGTTATATATTGTGAATGGCGCCAAGTCCATCCAACTCCACACAATACAAAACAGTATTTAGTTGGGGAGTCCCGACCAAAACAGGGCCCAGCGCAACGTTCTGCCCAGGGCATTGATTTCGTTCGAGATCGCTTAGCAGATTCCCTGCAGTTGCTGGGGCCTGAGGAAATTTTGGGCCCCACCTTCACCCATCGAGCATTCGTTCACAAAGATCTGCAGTGTGCTCAGTGTACCCAGAAAAGACTGAAGTTTTGAGATGATTTGAGTCTTCAACCGATTTGGATAAATTCGGAATATCCTAGAAATGGATCCTGTCTTGGTGTCTTCAAGATATTTTTGGAGTCTCCTGCGGATGGAGCTATATTAACGGTTCCACACCTGTTGTCATTCGGCCAGAGGGACTTCCAGAGGTTCCGTGGTTCTGTGCACATGTTTACTAGATGATTGACCTCCCCCAAAATTGTTTTTTTGTTCCCCACCTGCCAGGTGAGGGTTGTTAGATTTTATGTCAGTTGCCTCCTCCTCCTTCTCCTCCTTCTCCTCCTCCTCCTCTCCTCCTCCTCCTCGTCCTCCTCGTCGTCCTCGTCGTCCTCGTCGTCCTTGCTCAACTGCGACCCGCGATCCACAGTGTTCTCTGCCGGACCTCAACCACGACCATCCACGCCCAGTGTTCCCTGCCGGACCTCAACCACGACCATCCACGCCCAATGTTCCCTGCCGGACCTCAACCACGACCATCCTCGCCCAGTGTTCCCTGCCGGACCTCAACCACGACCATCCACGCCCAGTGTTCCCTGCCGGACCTCAACCGCGAGTATCCACGCCAAGTGTTCCCTGCCGGACCTCATGTAGGAAGATATGGGACAAAGAATGTGCAGAAGAAAGTTAGAAAGAATGTCAGAAAGAGCCAGATGCCAGATAGAATGCCAGATGCCAGAAGATATGCCAGAAGATATGCCAGATAGAATGCCAGAAGATATGCCAGATAGAATGCATGATTTGCCAGATAGAATGCTAGAAGATATGCCAGAAGATATGTCAGAAGATATGCCAGAAGATATGCCAGAAGATATGCCAGAAGATATAGTCAGAATATATGCCAGAAGATATGTCAGATAGAATGCCAGAAGATATGTCAGAATATATGCCAGAAGATATGCCAGATAGAATGCCAGAAGATATGTCAGATAGAGTGCCAGAAGATATGCCAGATAGAATGCCAGAAGATTTGCCAGATAGAATGCCAGAAGATATGCTAGAAGATATGCCAGGTCATATGCCAGAAGATATGCCAGATAGAATGTCAAATAGAATGTCAGAAGATATGTCAGATAGAATGCCAGAAGATTTGCCAGTAAGAAAATGTATAAATGTCATGGTGGGGATCACACGAAGTAAAGTAATTTTATACTAAACCGGAAGTAATTGTATTTGTGGTCTGAAAATGCAGATAATTCAAACATATTCAAAATTCAAACCTGGTAAAAACCGCAAAAGTTAGATCAGAATCACAAGATTTTGAAGTCAGTTTGATCAAAACACTGGCATTTCTGAACAAGGAAAAAACAGGGAAAACTGCATTTTTTCCAACGTTTTGTTGTGTGTTCTTTTGTGGTGTCCGATGTTTTTTTGGGGGGTCACATCCCATGGGTGATCCAGCCAGATTCTGGCCAGGCTTCGACACTCAGCCATTTCCAGCTCGGTGCAGTCCTAAGGAGCACTGGGACGCGCGCGCGGGTTCTCTAAAGATTTAATAGGATATAATAGGATATAGTAGGGCATATATATATAATATAGATTGGACATATGTTTTGGGGTTTAATGGCTGGCATACCTTTGGATATAAATTTACTATACCCTCAACTACTTAAGGTCTAGAAGGCCCCTCCCTGGAGGGGCTAGGGTCTAGAGGTCTAGACTGATAATTAGAGCATTGTAGACCCTTCCCAGTGGTACCACTCTAGACCCTTGGAATTTGGAGGTTTTGAAGCTAGCAAAAATGAAATATAAAATCATAGCCATAGCATTCTGGGGCCCTACTGTCAGGAAGCCATATTTTTTTTGGTTCACCCCAAATCCCTAGCAACACAGATTGGAAGCAAAAATAAAGGGATTCTGAAAGAGAGTTTCTGGATGGTTCTGGAATATGATACGAAATATGTTTAGTTTTCGAACAGGTCTTTTCAAAACTATCATCATCCATGGCATCCATGGCATCCATGGCATCCTTTAGTTTTCAAAATCGTTTGGTCCCGCGCTTCTCCTCCTTCGGGGGCATCTCTTTCTTCAACCACACCATGGCACGTTGTGACTCCTGCCAAATTCAAGGAAATCAGGGCCAACAAAAATTAGATCGACTGCTTGCGGGGTCTGGACTTGAATCATACCAGGTGCACAGCTTTATCACATAAAAGAGCGCCAAGGCAAAGCATTCAAGACCCCACAGGTTGGTAAATACATCTGGATATTACCTCACCACACACATGGCTGGGCACACCAAATTGATAGTCAACAACATATTCTGTGTGCATCCAAGGTCTAACTTCAAATCCAATCAGGGCCCCACAGGCATCTGAACACCACATCCCAAAGTAAACCAAAGGAGACCCCGGTTAGCAAAATGACTTCAAAAAAATTGACTTCAAAAAAATCACTAATTTAGGTGAACACCGTCAACAAATGTGAACAACATGGAATGTCTCATGTTGATACTTTTAAGATCTTTTAAGCATCACCTTGAGTAACCAATGCTTTCTGCAAATGATTTCACAACCTTCAACCACATCAAAGCCCAGCAAACAACGAAGCATAGGGTCTAAAATGTTTTTCACCCAGCGCATCTTGACCTCTGTGTCCTTGTAAAAACACACAAACCTTTTCAGACCCTTTACAGCACCAAACTCCTTAACAGGAACTATGGAACAAATAGATCGAAGGGTCTGGACTTGAATCATACCAGGGGCACAGCTTTATCACATAAAAGAGCGCCAAGGCAAAGCATTCAAGACCCCACAGGTTAGTAAATACATTTGGACATTACCTCATCACACACATGGCTGGGCACACCAAGCTCATGGTCAACAACATATTCTGTGTGCATCCAAGGTCTAACTTCAAATCCAATCAGGGCCCCACGGGCATCTGAACACCACATCCCAAAGTAAACCAAAGGAGACCCCGGTTAGCAAAATGACTTCAAAAAAATTGACTTCAAAAAAATCACTAATTTAGGTGAACACTGTCAACAAATGTGAACAACATGGAATGTCTCATGTTGATACTTTCAAGATCTTTTAAGCATCACCTTGAGTAACCAATGCTTTCTGCAAATGATTTCACAACCTTCAACCACATCAAAGCCCAGCAAACAACGAAGCATAGGGTCTAAAATGTTTTTCACCCAGCGTATCTTGACCTCTGTGTCCTTGTAAAAACACACAAACCTTTTCAGACCCTTTACAGCACCTAACTCCTTAACAGGAACTATGGAAAAATTAGATCGAAGGGTCTGGACTTGAATCATACCAGGGGCACAGCTTTATCACATAAAAGAGCACCAAGGCAAAGCATTCAAGACCCCACAGGTTGGTAAATACATCTGGACATTGCCTCGCCACACACATGGCTGCGCACACCAAAATGATAGTCAACAACATATTCGGGGTGCATCCAAGGTCTAACTTCAAATCCAATCAGGGCCCCACGGGCATCTGAACACCACATCCCAAAGTAAACCAAAGGAGACCCCGGTTAGCAAAATGACTTCAAAAAAATTGACTTCAAAAAAATCACTAATTTAGGTGAACACTGTCAACAAATGTGAACAACATGGAATGTCTCATGTTGATACTTTTAAGATCTTTTAAGCATCACCTTGAGTAACCAATGCTTTCTGCAAATGATTTCACAACCTTCAACCACATCAAAGCCCAGCAAACAACGAAGCATAGGGTCTAAAATGTTTTTCACCCAGCGCATCTTGACCTCTGTGTCCTTGTAAAAACACACAAACCTTTTCAGCCCTTTACAACACCAAACTCCTTAACAGGAACTATGGAACAAATAGATCGAAGGGTCTGGACTTGAATCATACCAGGGGCGCAGCTTTATCACATAAAAGAGCGCCAAGGCAAAGCATTCAAGACCCCACAGGTTAGTAAATACATTTGGACATTACCTCATCACACACATGGCTGGGCACACCAAGCTGATAGTCAACAACATATTCTGTGTGCATCCAAGGTCTAACTTCAAATCCAATCAGGGCCCCACGGGCATCTGAACACCACATCCCAAAGTAAACCAAAGGAGACCCCGGTTAGCAAAATGACTTCAAAAAAATCGACTTCAAAAAATTCACTAATTTAGGTGAACACTGTCAACAAATGTGAACAACATGGAATGTCTCATGTTGATACTTTCAAGATCTTTTAAGCATCACCTTGAGTAACCAATGCTTTCTGCAAATGATTTCACAACCTTCAACCAACCAAGCATAGGGTCTAAAATGTTTTTCACCCAGCGTATCTTGACCTCTGTGTCCTTGTAAAAACACACAAACCTTTTCAGACCCTTTACTCCTTAACAGGAACTATGGAAAAATAAATCGAAGGGTCTGGACTTGAATCATACCAGGGACTGCCAGGAAGATGATCAGGCTGAGGAGTCTGATAATTCAGGGTCGGACTGATCTACTTGAAAGCCATTTTTTTGAAAACCATTTGGAACAGTTTTGAGCTACCTCCATTTTTTGAAAGCAATTTGGAACAGTTTTGAGCCACCTGTTTTTTGTTGTGCCCCTGACCCGGTAGGATGACATAGAATGGGGATCAGACTGCGGTGTCTTTTCACTTGGGATTGCAAAATGCTCACCAGCGGCGCATGCAAAAATATGCAGACATGTCATGCATTTGGCGCAGATGAAAAGTTGGACTTTTTGGAGCATATGTAGAGGCAGTAGGAAAACCATAGTAGACCTTAAATACTGGACCAGCTCAAAGGTCTAGATGAACGAAATTATTTTTACATTCCCCCTGGTCAAACAACCCTTTAGACCCCACGTTTAGGGTCTACATAGAAGTAACCCACCCCCCCCAAGTAGCTGAGGGTATAATTTACTATTATTTACTGTATGTATATCACCAACAGTATTGTGATTTGTTCCTGTCCTAAGAATGTGCTTATCTTACCTCCAGTTTATGGTCATTTTAATCAAGCAAATGATGACTAACCAGTGGATGGAATGGAGTAACCGA